TGAACTGGAAGAATTTATTGGAGATGCTGCTTTTGTAATAAATGTCTGGCAATATCTTTCTGAAAAATATTCCAAGTCCTACAAACCTTCGGTAAATCCTATTATCAGGCACCTTCATCAAAAAAACTTGGAGATGAAAAAGAAATTCGAGACAACAATTTATCCTAACGTTTCTTTCCTGTCCGTGGTGGTCAACGATGACGACTATTGATAATCTTCAATAAATATAAATCTCGAGAATCCCCATTGTTTCTTTTCCATCTGTGGTCCGATTGATAGTGTAACAAATAAAGGTATTTAATAATTATAAAAAACGAATATTTTTTTTAGACTGGAATTAAGGGTGAGTTACACAATTTAATTATTTAAGCATCAACTCGTTCAAGCTCGCATGTTTTTAAGATGAAGGATATTTCTAAATCGGGAGTTGAAGTGATACAATACTCGTATTTGTATTTCCGTGGAAAAAGTTTTCCATTTAATATTAATATTAAATTAGACTGTTTTACTGACATTAACATCTTCGAAGCATTCATCCCCGGACGGCGGAACGAGTTTGCAGTCCTAACCTTTCCCGAGCACGAGAAAGAGTTATGGACAGACGAGGAGCTGCACAACTTTAGAGTCGAGCCCGACTCGGTTGACGTCGTGTATTACACCCTCGGCAAGAGGGGCACTTGCGATCTCTGCCTGCTTCTGCAGATGCAATACAAGTCCAAACCGCTCTACGCAGAGATTCTCTACTTTGATAACGCGGCCAATGCAAACGTCGAAAGAGCAGCGCATCAGAGCAGCATCGCCCTGACTTATAGCGTTCAGGACTTTATCGATTCCGTAGTCGCTTGTTACGAACAAAGAGAAGTGTATACTCCGACTTGTAGCGTTCAGAGTTATATCAATACGCTATCATCTAACGAACATAGAGAAGCGTATTATTATGACTGGGGTGAGGAGTGGAAGGTGGAGGATCGCGATTTTATATTTGAAAACATGTTAGTGTACCACGCAATCAACGATAACACAAAATTACGGAGATCCTGGAGCGACAATTGTAGTGCGCTGAACTGCCTGTGTCACCAATCGTCGCAGCTAGGACTGCTGTGTCGCGGGATCCTCTCCGGTCGTAGAGAGGCGCTCTGGGGCGATTCCCAGCGTGCAGTCCTGCCCGTATTGATTGACAGGCAACTGAATATCTTGAATCTAAAAGAGAGACAAGTGTTTTTAACGGACATGCGAAAGAATGCATCGATAACAATATATAGTCCATCGGAACATATAGCAACATCAATGATATTCAAGATTTTTGTTAACATCATACCATATTACGGTATCCAGTATTATACAGATTGTAATATTTTGCTTAACTTTGATAATGAAGATGATGATGATTTATGTTGGAGTTTTATTGAAAACAACAATATGTGTGGAAATATATTGCTGAAAAATATTCCAAGTCTTACAAACCTTCGAAAAAAAAACATCTCGAGAATTATCATCAAAAACTCTTACAGATAAAAAGGAAATTCGAGATGGGAATTTACCCCAATGTTTCTTTTCCATCTGTGGAAATAATCAATAGTGAATAATTCGATGTTAGATAGTTATTCTGATGATGCTAAACATTTCTTCCAAAATGTCGATTCGATTTTTTTTTTTTTAGAAAGAAAATACAAGTGATGAAATTTTTTGAGTGAGGGGGTATGATAAACATTTTAACCTTAAAATAATAACTCTTTTTACCAATTCAAACACTTGAAGCCCTATAAAGGATACTAACAGTAACAATGTTAACATTTATATCGAATCACTGTTCGGGAATACATAATACGAGATTTGTTACAATAACATATGGATATCTATATTTTCCTGAAGAAAAATATGATTATTCGCGCGAAATATTAAAACGTTATGGAAGATATAATGACAAGTTTATCCGCGAGCATCGAAGCGAGTTTGTCACCCTGACCTTTCCCGACGAAGAACGCTCGCTCTGGACGGACGAGGAACTGCGCAACTTTTCGATCGACCCGAAATCGGTGGATTTGGTGTACTACATTCTCGACAGGAGAGACTCGCTCGATTTCTGCATGCTCCTACGAACGCATCGCGGTTCCAGACCCCTCTATGCGGAGATCATTTATTTTGACAACGGAAGCGAAGCTCTGACTATGACGGGAAGGAGGTGTGATGGTGATGGTGAAGAAGAAGGAGGAGGAGGAAGAAGAAGAAAAGGAGGAGGAGGAGGACCCTTTCAGAGCAGCATCACTCTAACCTACAGCGTTCAGCGCTTCCTCGATCATATCGTATCTAATTACGACCATTCTTCCCTCTATTGTTGTATGGGGGTTGACGAAACGTGGGAGGTGGAAGATCGCGACTTTATCTTTGAAAACATGCTAGCGTGCAATGCTATAGAAGGAGGTGACAATGCCAATATGGCGTCGCCATGGAGACGGCGGCAGCCGTCCTCACTGAAACAGCTCTGTTTTGGAGTCGTCTCCGTTAACAGAGAAGCGCTCTGGAACGATTCCGCGCGGGCGGACATATTGCCCGTATCGGTTCTCAGAAAACTGAAGAACACATTAGTATCAAAAACCGACTCGAGAGAAAATTATTTATAAAATACATGTTAAACCAAAAAGATAAAAAAGAAATCAATCATAAACATAAAACACGTAAAATATTTAGTAATATTATACCATTTCTTATAGGCTTCAATGATGAAGTATATGAATATTACTATAATAATCGTGATATCCCTATAATGTATACTGAGTGTTGTGGGTTCAAATTTCGTATGGAAATATATTGCTGATAAGTATTTAATAGAAAACACATCCTCCGGAGTTACTTATAAAATAGAAAATATACCGACTGGATTTACTGGATTCGAAAAATTTTATCAGGAAAAAATAAAAGGAAAAGACAACTCGAGAAGATGTATTATCCAGAGTTAATTTTCCATAATACAATATATGTATGTATGTTTATATGTGTATATGTGTTAAAAAGTATAAAGGAATAATACAATATTGTTATCATTTCTTCCAAATATAGTCAAGAAAGAGTTAAAGAATACAGTATTGGATTGAATTATATAAATAAATAAAATCACATATTATCATTTATCTGATAGCTTTAATCGGTTTCATTGACATATTCAATCGTATCTTTTATAGTATTTTTTATATATACATTTTCTACAATCCTTATATTTTCAACGTCAATAGCATCATTGTTATTTTTTTTTCTTATATTTTGGTATATCCCGAGGAGAGTCCATTTTATTATATTGGGTTTATAACTAAGTGATTTTAGGTTATTATACATTCTTATATTGATATGTTTACTATTCTAGACATCATACTTGTATATTTCTATACTTATATTACCATAACCCCCACCCCCTCCCTTCCCTTGACTAAAGAATATTATTCTTGTCTAACTTTGATAATCGATAATGAGCCACAAAAATATCTCGATATATCTCTCTTCCTGCCCAATTTTCACCAAGATGATTAAGTGTAAAAACATAATAGTATACGAAGAGAGAGAGTATATATATATATATATATATATATATATATATATATATATATATATATATATATATATATATATATATATATATATATATATATATATATATATATATATATATATATATATATATATATATATATATATATATATATATATATATATATATATATATATATATATATATATATATATATATATATATATATATCCCGTTGAACGAGAAAGGTCATCTTACGGACTCTACCAACAAAAATTCTTCTCTTAGGAGGGGGTGTAAGCAAAAAACGTAACATTGTAGGAGAGTACATATCCTGTTGAATGAGATACAGAGCAAACGCTTTATAATATCAGCATCATCAACAGCGTCTACCAAAGCTATCAACTATCATATTCGCCTTTAAGGTTCTATCTATATAAGGATGTCGTACTCTAGTGTCAAATGTCCTAATCTCAATATAATAGATCTTACTGAAGAAGAAGAAAATAACAACCCCACTCATCTGACCAACAAAGAAGACTCCAAGGGCAAATCAGACACTCGAATAATTCAATTTGAATTGTCTAACGACATGGAATATGATGTTTGTATCAGTCCTAATCACAATAGCAAATTACTAGAAGTGATGAAGAATCGACAAGAGGTGATGATGAAGCATATTCATGATTGGAAATGAAGGAGAAACAAATTCAAGACTATATACATGAAATATGTTGTGCTTTAGAAAGTTTGAGACAAAGGCATAATAAACTTGTCACGGCCACACAGTGTATGCAGAGGTCATTTGTGACAAGCTAGTATTAATAACCAATAAAAGAATATGGATTAAATTTGTTGTTTTTATTTATCAATAAATAACATGTATCAGTATAACTCACATAACTCGCTTGTATTGAAAGACAGTAAACATTGACAATCCAGTAAAACTATATCGATCAAATTTGTTATTATTAACCTTTATCAGTATAAAGACATTCACTCGCACCAATACTTCACATAAAAAAAAAGCTCGCTCACTTGTATCAAAAATTTATTTACATCGACAATCCAGCAAAAGGATATGGATCAAATTTGTTGTTATTAACTTTTATTAAAGAATAACAATTTGCACCAGTAGTTCAAAAATTTATATTCAGATAAATATTTTTGTATCCAATATCCTGTAACAAAGCCTATGGTTTATAAATAATAAAAATGGCTTATTAATATCATTATTATCAATATTACCATTAACATTCAAGAACATTCCCATTTCTTGTATTGATCCATCACAGTCACAGTTGACAAACACGAAAGGTTTATCGATGATAATAACATCTTGCTCTTTGGATCATCTTCCGTTATTTCAGATTTTCCTTCGTTAATCTCGATAAAAGGCCAACTGTTTTTTATAATTTTGATTTGGTATATAGGATTTTTCAATAACAAACTTGGGAATATGACAATACTCGATTTATCTTCACTGAATGTGCAGTGCAAATTTAACCAGTTTATGGAATTTACCAAATTTATTAGATCTTTTCTTCCTGAAGATTTTTTGGGCATTAAAATCCAGTGCAGTGACCCATCATACATCTTCATTTGTATGATTTCGCAATTCTTATCGTATGCTTCGCTAGATCTGTAAATGCCGCCGCTTCGTGTAAATTTTACAGCGCGGATCTTGCTCACACTTCCATTTTCTTGAATACAATGTCGTCAGACGTATCATAATCCCAAGCACTTGTAAAATATCTAATTTCCGGATTTTCCGTTTTTGTAGATTGATAGTCGCTAGATTCATTTCTAGTAAGGAAACCTCTTGCCTGGGCAATAATATTATATCCTTTTATTTTCAATTCTTCTTCTTCTGGATGTACAAGTCTTCTTGTCCAAATAGAAAAAGATTCTTCTTCTGGATGTACAAGTCTTCTTGTCCAAATAGAAAAAGATTCATCGTCTTTTCTTGATTTTGCTATCTCAAGAAAACGCAGGCTAGACATGAAGTTTAGATCGTTGGGTGTTTCTATAGACGAGTACCCCATTATCTTTATCCGTCGTTACTAATCTCAAAGGAGAGAATATACAAAATGTATATGTGCTTAACTGAACAGGCTATTAGAACCTATCAAACAGGTTATTAAAACCCATCAAAGTAAAAAAATATACTTAATTGTCCTTATAAATATATTTGTCCTTGTCGGGGTTAACCAGAGAAACAATGGTCTAAAAACAACTCTCTGGTTGATAGAACAATATCTATATATAGATAAAATAAAAATGAGCACAACTAATAAATCACAGCACCATCACGATGGTGATATCAATAACAAAAATAGGAATGATGATAATGAAAACTTGCTTACATTAACCGACAAGACCACCAAGACCATCACGCCATCCTCGTCAACTCTGAATGAGACTATAAATGACACAATAATAATAATAAGTGATATAATAACAATAATAAGTGACACAATAACGATGTTAAATGACACAATAACGATGCTAAATGTTAGAATAAAACTAAATAACACGAAGCTAAAAGAGTTAAATGATGAAATAAAAAAAAATGAGGATATATGTAACGAGAATAATATTATGAAAGAAACGCAAAAAAGAAATGAAGAAATGTGCAAAAATACTGAAGAAAAAATATGCAGCAAAAGTGCTAATATTGTCAATCCATATGAAATGATGAGGATGACATGTATAATATGTTAACATGATCGTACCAAGAAAGAGATATACAATTAAAAAAAAGAAGATTTATTCTTATAAACGGTGAGTATAAATAAAAATAATAACAATATCGTTACATCTTTCACCTATTATGTGGGAAAATATAATTAAATAAATCTAAAAATATAAATTTAAACGAATACTGGAGCTAAGAGCATATATTTCTCTTCTTCCCAAAGAGCCACCTTACCATGAGATTAAGAAAGGCCTCACTACAAATTTCAAACTACAAACTACAAAAAAGGAAGAGAAAGCCAAGATTGGAGGAGATGACGAGAAACAAGAGGAAAATAAGCCATCTACGATACTCAATCAAGAAAAAAAAGCATGGCGATTTCCAAGTCTTGAAAAAGGACGATGACGATGAAGATGAATTTATTAATGAAAAGGACGATGATGATGAAGATGAATTTAATAATGATACCCCAAAAACAGATACGTTACAGCAAGAACAACAACAAGAGCAACAAAGCAAACATA